GAGAGAGAGAGAGAGAGAGAGAGAGAGAGAGAGAGAGAGAGAGAGCAAACAAATAAGCCTCCAACATTGAACAGAGAACCCTTGTGGGTAATCTGAGAGGCCGCTGCTAATAATTAGCAAGTGCGAACTCGCCGTGAGAGAGGCAGCTCTCAAACACATTGCAAGGCAGAAGCAGGTCAACTGTATATCATGCAGATTCACATTAAGGGCCTCGCCACACCACTCTCCAAATGTGAAAATGACAAAAATGTGGCGGGTGCATCTGGCCATGTTCTAGCGCGAAAGTCATTCTCATTTCGCACATTTCGAGAGTGCTGTGGGGATGCCCTCAGGGCCGTGTTTCAGCAGTTATGGGACCACAGAGCACGTGATTATCTGGGCAGTAGCAGGCCAATTCACCACGTGATTTTGAGGGTTTCCCTCCACTACTCACCAAGTGTGCAAACTAGAATGAATCTTCTGCTAGAACATGGAATCATACGTCGCCATATGTTTTGTCTCTTGTGCAAGTGGTTACGACTGGCACCAGGCCCTTAGGGCCACTGCTCGTCGGAACAGGAATACAAAAGACAGAGAGAGCTACAGTAGTAAGTAGTTGTAAGTTGTAACCCATAACTGCTCCAAAGCAGACCTGACTTCGGATCCAGAAGATATATTGCTGGCCTGCTCCTCTCTCGTCCGAAATTGGACGAATGTCTCTGGTAAGACATGAGAGCCCTGCAGATATTCGGCTGGGAGCCCTTCAGAAATAAAAAGTATTAAAAACTAAATTCAAAGAGGAGAAAAAAAAAAAAAAAGGAGGAATACGTGGCCCTAATTTTTTTTTCTGTGGCCTTAGAATTTGTAGAAGGGACGGGCACGTTCGGCTACCTCAGCCAGCGCCCTCATAATCCCCCCAATACCCCTTATAACTCCCCCATACTCCCTTGTACCCCCCCCGACCTCCCACTACACCGCCCCCCTCCCCCCGGCATCTCTAAAAGTTCCTCAGCAGATTGGGGCTGTACTGCGTACTCAGCAAGCGCAGTACAGCCCCCAACTCAGATTTGAAAAAAACTCAGTGGATGGCCGTTTTCTGACTGGTCGGCAGACGGCCCTACTGGTCAGCTGCGAAACGGTCGGCGGCCGCCAGGCATGCAACCCTGGCGCCTGCCCGTTCGTGCTTGTCTGAGGGCCACTGACCAGAGCCCAGCGGCTCGATTTGGCACGCCAGTTACAGCAAGTTAGTTGATTTAATCCCCAGGAAACAGGGCAATCAATGCTGGCAGGCCTTCTGATGTTCAGTGGGACGCTGGACCCGTTTTCCAGCAGGTGCTGCCCCCCAGCAATAGACCGCAGCAAAAAAGAAAGGAAAAAAAAAGGGAAAAAAAAAAAGAAGAAAGTTGTTTCAAAATTCTAATCCTTCTCACTCACCTTGGTCAGTTGGGTGTTTGTCTTTCATCGGAAAAAAAAATCCGTTTGTTGTTTCCAAATTTTGATCCTTGTACTCCGTTCCGAAACTTTAAGACGACCAAAGAGAAAAGATGACCGTGCCACAATCAATCTCCCACAAAGAGAGAGAGAGAGAGAGAGAGAGAGAGAGAGAGAGAGA